CAAAAAAAAAAAAAGCCAGGAAGAATTGTTACAACTTAAAAGACATACCATCCAACTGAAACAAACCAACTATAAAAAAATGGTTATGGAAAAAAACCTAACAGGGAAAACCAACTAGATATTAGGAATTATTGTTAATTTTGTTAGGTGTGATACTAGTACTCCCAATCAAAGTGTTCCTCTCACTTTGATGTTTCTCTCTGTCTTTCTCTTTCTCTTCCGCATTCTCTAAAAATCAATGGGAACATATCCTCAGGTGAGGATAAAAAGAATAATAAAGAAATGTCATATCCTATGAAAGACACATCTTGAAAATGCCTAAAGAAAGTTGTCATTTTTTCATGGTGAAGGGACTGGAGTCCGTGCTGATGAAAACACCTTGGTGGCTGTGGTGACTGGCAGTGGCTGCAGCAACAGGGTGATGGGGCTGGTTCCTTCCCTTGATCAGCCCGGTCACCTCCCACAAAGGGAGGCCAGACTGTGGCTTAGGCTCGCCCCCCAAGGGGAGCAGGGAGCGGGCCTAAGCCATCAGTAGGACATCCCCTGAGGGCTCCCAGTATGTGAGAGGGGGCAGGCTGAGGGACCTCCCTCCCCCAGTGCACAAATTTCGTGCACTAGGCCCCTAGTTTTATATAAAGAGTTGGGAGACTGATTTTTCAGAGCTGAAAGAACTCAAAATAAATTTGGCAGCTCCTGAGAAGAAACTTGCTTCACCCTGCCACCTGCTACACAGAACAACAGATCTGACTTCAGGGGATATTTTCAGAAGCCAAGATTACTTCCTTTGGATGCCTGCCACGTAAAATAACTCTACCCCAAATAGCTTTGGATATGCCATTGTCCATACAGTACAGGGATATTTAATTACTGGAATTTAGTTAATTGGTCATGGTTGAGCTGGAATGCTGACTTAACCCAAGTTTTTTCCTTTAAAGAGTTTATTTAGAAAGTATCATAGTATAAACAAATTGATTGCAAAGAACATACATTTAGCTATCTTAAGGGAGCCTAGGCGTACTGTTGCTTATTTCTAAAAGTGATAGTAAAAATGGCATGAATTATAAGGATGCTAGCATTGACGGTAGGTAGCATGGCCTATTTTTTTTTTTTGCTTTGACTCAGCCCTGCCTACCTCCTTCTTTGGTTTTTAGGTTAAGTTAACCCCACTTTTTTTTTTGGTAGAGAAGTTTTATTTATCACATATATTAATACTGTATTTAGAGCCCTGGCTGGTTTGGCTCAGTGGATAGAGCGGCAGCCTGTGGACTGAAGGGTGCAGGTTTGATTCCAGTCAAGGGCACATGCCAGGGTTTCCGGCTTGATCCCCAGTGTGGGGTGTGCAGGAGGCAGCCGATAAATAATTCTCTTTTGTCATTGATGTTTCTATCTCTCTCTCTCCCTCTCCATTCCTCTCTGAAATCAATAAATTTTTTTTAAAAAATACTGTATTTACTGCAGAACAGTCACAGAAAAGAGCAGGCAGCAGGCAGGGATTAGCAATGGCAGGGTTAGGCTAGCATCTAGCACACAGTAGTTGTTTAGTAAGGACTTGTCACTGCTTCTCAAATGCCAACTTTTGGTACAGTAAACTGACTGACTTTTTATGTAGCTGCCTGCCTATTTTGGATGTCACACTACACTTAGAACAATTAAGGATTTTATTCCATTTTTGTTTTGTTTTTGTGACTTGTCTATGAGTTAATAGAATAGTCAAAACAAGCCTTGACCATTTTTTGGTGATTTTTTTCCCCCTCTCCCTAGTTATCTTTAGAGGTTAGGTGTAGGCCCCCTCCCCCCACAACAGAATAGTATTCTTATTAGAAGTTCCTAAGACAATTCCAGCATGCAAGAGCAATGGGACATAGCTGGAAGCAGATAAAAGGTAGCCATCACCTAAGGGTAATATATTCTATCGCTGTTGCACCTAGCATCCTGTGACAGACAGACCGGGTCCTCTTCCTTGCCCTATCCATTAAGCCCATTAACAGGCAGGATCCTCATTTGCTTCACAATAGTGCTTTTACCAGGTTCTCCTGCACCCAGCAGCAGTAGACCTGCTTGTTCTGCAGTTGCTTCTAGATCTTTTTATTGGCCTTCTCCTTGATGCGTTGGTCCTTGGTCTTACTGTTTCTGAGACAGCCCATGGCGGCGCAGGGTGGGGGAAGG